TTACTTCCTCCATGACACTTCTACCTGCACAACAACAGGAAGTAAGTTCTCTTGTTTTAGGCATGAGTACTTAATGCTTACATGTCTCTCTTTACTTCCTCCATTACACCTTTACCTGTACAACAACAGGCAGTAAGTTCTCTTGGTTTAGGCATGATTACTTTATACTGATGTGTTTCTCTTTACTTCCTCCACGACACCTCTACCTGCACAACAACAGATTGTAAGTTCTCTTGTTTTAGGCATGATTACTTTATGCTCACGTGCCTCTCTTTACTTCCTCCACGACACCTCTACCTGCACAACAACAGAGAGTAAGTTCTCTTGTTTTAGGCATGAGTACTTAATGCTTACATGTCTCTCTTTACTTCCTCCATTACACCTTTACCTGTACAACAACAGGCAGTAAGTTCTCTTGTTTTAGGCATGATTACTTTATGCTGATGTGTTTCTCTTTACATCCTCCACGACACCTCTACCTGCACAACAACAGAGAGTAAGTTCTCTTGTTTTAGGCACGAGTACTTAATGCTTACGTGTCTCTATTTACTTCCTCCACAACACCTCTACCTGCACAATAACAGAGCGTAAGTTCTCTTGTTTTAGGCACGAGTACTTAATGCTTACGTGTCTCTCTTTACTTCCTCCACGACACCACTACCTGCACAACAACAGGAAGTAAGTTCTCTTGTTTTAGGCATGAATATATTAATACTCACGTGTCTCTTTCCTTCCTCCATTACACCTCTACCTGCACAACAACAGAGAGTAAGTTCTCTCGTTTTAGGCATTAGTACTTAATGCTTACGTGTCTATCTTTATTTCCTCCACGACACCTCTACCTGCACAACAATAGAGTGTAAGTTCTCTTGTTGTAGGCATGAACACTTAGTGCTTACGTGTCTCTCTTTACTTCTTCCACGACACCTCTACCTGCACAACAACAGTCTGTAAGTTCTCTTGTTTTAGGCATGAGTACTTAATGCTCACGTGTCTCTCTTTACTTACTTCCTCCACGACACCTCTACCTGCACAACAACAGCCAGTAAGTTCTCTTGTTTTAGGCGTAAGTACTGAATGCTTACATGTCTCTCTTTTCACCTTTACCTGTACAACAACAGATTGTAAGTTCTCTTGTTTTAGGCATGATTACTTTATGCTCACGTGTCTCTCTTTACTTCCTCCACGACACCTCTACCCGCACAACAACAGCCTGTAAGTTCTCTTGTTTTAGGCACTAGTACTTAATGCTTACATGTCTCTCTTTACTTCCTCCATTACACCTCTACCTGCACAACAACAGGAAGTAAGTTCTCTTGTTTTAGGCATGAGTACTTAATGCTTACGTGTCTCTCTTTACTTCCTCCACGACACCTCTACCTACACAACAACAGTGGGTAAGCTCTCTTGTTTTTGGCATGAGTACTTAATGCTTACGTGTCTCTCTTTACTTCCTCCATGACACCTCTACCTGCACAACAACAGAGTGTAAGTTCTCTTGCTTTAGGCATGAGTACTTAATGCTTATGTGTCTCTCTTTACTTCCTCCACGACACCACTACCTGCACAACAACAGAGCGTAAGTTCTCTTGCTTTAGGCACGAGTACTTAATGCTCACGTGTCTCTCTTTACTTCCTCCACAACACCTCTACCTGCACAACAACAGCATGTAAGCTCTCTTGTTTTAGTCACGAGTACTTAATGCCCACGTGTCTCTCTTTACTTCCTCCACGACACCTCTACCTGCACAACAACAGCCTGTAAGTTCTCTTGTTTTAGGCATGAGTACTTAATGCTTATGTTTCTCTCTTTACTTCCTCCACGACACCTCTACCTGCACAACAACAGGAAGTAAGTTCTCTTGTTTTAGGCATGAGTACTTAATGCTTACGTGTCTCTCTTTACTTCCTCCACGACACCTCTACCTGCACAACAACAGTGGGTAAGCTCTCTTGTTTTTGGCATGAGTACTTAATGCTTACATGTCTCTCTTTACTTCCTCCACGACACCACTACCTGCACAACAACAGTGGGTAAGCTCTCTTGTTTTTGGCATGAGTACTTAATGCTTACCTGTCTCTCTTTACTTCCTCCATTACACCTCTACCCGCACAACAACAGCCTGTAAGTTCTCTTGTTTTAGGCATGAGTACTTAATGCTCACGTGTCTCTCTTTACTTCCTCCACGACACCTCTACCTGCACAACAACAGAATGTAAGTTCTCTTGTTTTAGGCACGAGTACTTAATGCTTATGTGTCTCTCTTTACTTCCTCCATGACACCTCTACCCTGCACAACAACAGCCTGTAAGTTCTCTTGTTTTAGGCATGAGTACTTAATGCTTATGTGTCTCTCTTTACTTCCTCCACAACACCTCTACCTGCACAACAACAGCCTGTAAGTTCTCTTGTTTTAGGCATGAGTACTTAATGCTTACGTGTCTCTCTTTACTTCCTCCACGACACCTCTACCTGCACAACAACAGATGTAAGTTCTCTTGTTTTAGGCATGAGTACTTAATGCTTACGTGTCTCTCTTTACTTCCTCCACGACACCTCTACCTGCACAACAACAGGAAGTAAGTTCTCTTGTTTTAGGCATGAGTACTTAATGCTTACGTGTCTCTCTTTACTTCCTCCATGACACCTCTACCTGCACAACAACAGGAGTAAGTTTTCTTGTTTTAGGCATGAGTACTTAATGCTTATGTGTCTCTCTTTACTTCCTCCATGACACCTCTACCTGCACAACAACAGAGTGTAAGTTGTCTTGTTTTAGGCATGAGTACTTAATGCTTACGTGTCTCTCTTTACTTCCTCCACGACACCTCTACCTGCACAACAACAGGCAGTAAGTTCTCTTGTTTTAGGCATGAGTACTTAATGCTTACGTGTCTCTCTTTACTTCCTCCACGACACCTCTACTGCACAACAACAGAATGTAAGTTCTCTTGTTTTAGGCATGAGTACTTAATGCTTACGTGTCTCTCTTTACTTCCTCCATGACACCTCTACCTGCACAACAACAGGCAGTAAGTTCTCTTGTTTTAAGCATGAGTACTTAATGCTTATGTGTCTCTCTTTGCTTCCTCCACGACACCACTCACCTGCACAACAACAGGCAGTAAGTTCTCTTGTTTTAGGCATGAGTACTTAATGCTCACGTGTCTCTCTTTACTTCCTCCACGACACATCTACATCACAACAACAGAGAGTAAGTGCCTTGTTCGTTACTATAGCCTGCACACATGAAAAGCATGTTGGTTGTTATTGTTGATGTTTACACGTGCGCATAAACCACCGTATTGATGGGCCAGCTAGCATGTGTTAGCGACATAGTGGCTGGTTATGTTTATAAACATTACCATGGCATTAGGCATGTGAGGATGACACGATGCACAAGAAAATAGTTACTATTTTGTAGATTTAGTTTGGTATTTTTAATTTGCAGAGACTGGAAGGTAAAAATGAAGTAACTTCTGTACATCGTTTGTAAGTGTATTATACTGTATGTGAAATAATCAAAGCACCGCCTTTTCCCCAATGATATTATCTGACTCCATTTCAAATTTCCATCCCTATAATAAATGTGATGCTTACTTTTGATTCCTTATTATTGAACCACAATATGCGATACATTTGCAGAAATATTCCTCGTATTGTTTTGCAAATGAACAAGCTGTGCCTGCATTTTGCCGGTTTCTGTTTTATAATACTTTGGGCTTTAATAAGTCTGGTTCACAATACGATGCTAGACTTTCATTTCGTTTGCTACAGTTTTATTGTAATTTTGTGAACAGCGCAGCTCACTGACAAACGAAATGGAGTCTAGCGTCGTATTGTGAATTGTGAACCAGGCTTTACTCTGTTAAAATCAATGGAAAAATGCTGGCTCTTTGTATTGCTAGATGACTATGCTGAGGCTCTTAGTAAAGGCGCTGTTCCTGGTGCTTATGTGCGGTTAATGTTCCTGGGGGCAGGGGGTTCAGGGAAGAGCAGCTTACTCGATGGCCTTATGAATGTTCCATTAAGAATGGCGGAAACCACAGCTGTAGCTGACACACGCACTGTGTCATTTCAGTGGATCAAAGCAGCAGATAGTTGTGAGGAGGCTTGGAAAGAGCATACTAGTTCTGACGAGGCTACAAGTTTAGCAGCTCATTCTCATAGTCTTGCTCTGAATAAAGAGGAGAGGAGAGGAAGAGCAGGGTCCTTTATAATAAACTGGCCTTTGCTCCTGCGTTTTTAGCTTTGGTTTGGCTGCTGGTGCAGTTGCTTTTATAAAACATCAAGTTAGAGGAAAACAAGTTAGTAGTGAGCATAGGGAGAAGATATCAGAAACAGCCAGTACTACCTATAGTGAAATTATCAAAGAAGCAAAGCAACATAGTGCACAACACCAGGGGAAACATAATCCAGATGTTGTAATGCACATATGGGACTGTGGGGGGCAGCCTGTGTTTCTTGATATTCTTGCTGCATTTCTTACCCCTCGCACAATGTTTCTTCTTCTTTTTGATGCTTCCTCTAATCTTGAGGAAATGTACCAAGAAAAATGGCACCACAATGGTAAACCTATTATGGGAAGGGAGCATAAATATCACAAACTTGCAGCTATTGATACAATGGTTGCAACTAATCCATTCTTCCCTTATTGAAAAGAAAGAGCACTCGCCACTTCAGGCCAGTCTAAGCTCTGATATTATTCCAAAGTTTCCTCGAGCCATGCTTGTTGGTTCACGGAAAGACCAAATAACGCCAGAGGAAGAAGAGGGTGTAAAGTCTCAACTTCAGTCTGCCTTTGATTATGCTTCATTTAGTAAAATTATAGTTGACAAGCTCCTTGTTGACAACACTAAGGCTGGGAAGGGTAAGGAAGAAGATCCTGGGTACAAAAAAATTCGTGAAAATATCAATGAATTTGCAAAATCGCTTGTGGTAAACACTCCACTGGCCTGGGTTACTTTCAGGCAGGTTTTGCAAAAGGTTGCTGAGGATAAGCCAATTCTTTTATACAGTGAAGTTGTTTTCATTGCCGAGCAATGCAAAATTCCTACGGAGGTTGTACCAAGTGTGCTTCAATTTTACCACCAGTTAGGTGCACTTTTACACTATGCGAATGTACCATCTCTTGCCACTACAATAATAGTTGAGCCACAATGGCTTATTAACCAGTTGCGACTTCTGCTAATGCCAGATTGGTTTGGTCACCGACCTGACCATCTGAAACTGTTTTGGAAGTGGTTTGAAGAAAGAGGTGTTGTTGTTGAAGAGTTATATCAGGAAATATGGAAAGATTGTGGGCTAGAGGGGGGCCCACAAGCTTTTGTTGATGTTCTTCTTCATTTTGATCTTGCAACCGAAATAAATGAATGTCCATATGACATGATGTCTAGCAGAGGCAAAAAGTATTTCATGCCTTGCATGTTGAAAGTAAAGCCTAAATCAGAATCAACAGAAAATTCAGAGCCACCACAATTCAAGCCTGTACGCGAAGCAGCTACTCTCTATATGTGTTTTAGTACAGGTTATGTACCGCCTGGTTTTTTTGTCCGATTAGTTGCACACATGTCTAACCAGGAAGGTTACACACCACTTTTAAATAAAGAGGTGTATCGAAATAGTATTTTGTTTAAGTGCAGAAATATTGACCGAATAATTGTGTCCGAATCACTGGAAAGCATATCTGTCAGGTTTTTTCGAGTGGCAGAGCGAAATAGACACAATATTAGATTTGCTGAGTCGTGCATTTTGCTACAGAGGGAGCTGGTTAGCATGTGCAAGAATGTACGTGACTGGATGCCGTGTGTTACATTCAACTTGGCATTTCCATGCACATATTCACAAAGTGCTCCCAGGCACTTCGTAGTATTGAAGCCTGGTGTTTCTTGCGAGTCTGATCTTTTTTGTACTCTTGACCATAAGTTTGAACTGTCTCCTCAGCAAAGGTTCTGGCTACCATTTCCAAGTGAAATTCCAGTGCATGTGAGTGTGGCCCATTTAATATCTCTACTATGATTTATTTAATTATTGTGTCGTTCTATGCAGCCTCCTGTTGAGGACGGTTCTCTGACTGAAACTGAAATGAAGCTTGTGGCCAAGGAGATAGAAAATGATTTATCTGATGTTGTTGAAGAAATGGAGATGCAATATACACTCAAAAAAATTGCAAGGGCCCCGAGAAGGAGCAGGGAGCCAGCATATGCTGTCATCTCTGATTTTGTTGAGGGTGAAGGTGGTACTCGTTATGAACTTGCTCAACTGTTAGATAATGCCGGCTTTGATGAGCTATCAAGGAAGTAAGTGAAAGTCAGCTCATTTCCAATAGCATCTGTTGACGTGTCATTTTATAACTGCAGACTACTTAAAGGCCAGTTAATTCAAGGCAGTCAACAATATGCTGATGTAAGTTTTTAGTCTGCTGTGCATGTTATATACCGTAGTATGGCTCGTAATTTAAGAGTGGAAAGAAAACTGAATGTGCTAGAAATCATTATACCTCTCCACTTATAGTTCTCACTCAGTTCAGGAGTTTGAGTTTTCAACTGCATTTCTATGTGTGTAAATGGGATCTTTGTTACTGTATCTGTACAAAAGAGTGTTTCACATTTGGCCCATGTGCTACTAAAAACTTAGTTTAATTACATTGTCTTTGTCCATTTATACCTGCAGCCGTTAAGAGATACTCCCACTCTACCACAACTAATGGCTTTTCCAATGCTAGATGGTAGTAAAATTAACATTCTTACAAGAATTGGTGTTCGCTACAATGTTTTTGGACCATTCCTGCTAAATGATAATGATGGATCCATAACGGATGCCCTGAAGGAGTCGTGTATGAGAGAATCGCATGCAATCAACCAAGAAATTTCGAAACAGTGGTTGCAAGGTAAAGGGAAATGGCCGATAACATGGGTCACCTTTCTCAGTGTATTGAAAGAAATGGATATGAAAGCCCTTGCCTTTGATATTATGTCGTCTCTCCTGGGTCTGTCCCTCCGGGGTAAGTCGTCCCCCCAGGGGCGACACTAATTATTCCTCAAACAGTGTACATAATTGGCTGTCTTTTGTGTTTAGTTAGCTACCGGGTAACAACTGTTCCCCTATACTTGCCTTTACATACGTAATTTTGTTTTTTGTAATCCAGCTTTTTTAGCGTCTTGTGTTTGTGCATAGCCTTCAACTCAGTAAATTCTCAACTGAAGAGAAATAAAGTCCTTTTTCACACAATTCCCTTTGAAATATTGTATCGAACTTCAAGTGCCTAGACAATTCCAGTCTCTTGCAAAATGTGCAACAACCTAATGAAAATTGTTCTGAATAACTGGAAATGTGTACTAAAAGCATTCAACCATCAAACTGTTTTATCACTCCAAAGTTACTTTTACTTCCTCTTTCGAAATACTATTACAAATGCCACACATTTAATGACCAAGAGCGAGCAGTTCAATATATTGGAATGAAATTCACATTAACACGTCTATCCGCTAGGCTACAGTTTACAGCTAACTGTGGGGGGGGGGGTGGGGGGCTGCTATTAATCATTAAATACGGTATTTCGTGTTTGTAATTCAGCTTTTTTTGAGTTCCATGTGTTTGTGCTAGCAATGTTAGGGCCAAATTTCTCAACTGAAGAAAATAGTCCTTTCACCACACATTCCCATTGAAATATTGTAATCGAGCTTCATGTGCGTAACGAATTCACACATTTTTATGACCAGAAGCGAGCAGTTGAACATATTGGAATGAAAGTCCTTTCCCACACAATTCCCATTGTATTGAGCTTCATGTGCCTATAGACAATCCCAGTCTCTTGGATAACGTGAAACAACCTAATGAAAATTGCTCTGAAAAACTGCAAATGAAAAAGCATTCAACCATCAAACAGTTTTATCACTTCTTGAACAAAGGACACCTCGCATACCTCCAAAGTTACTTTTACTTCCTCTTTCAACATACTAGAACAAATACCACACATTTTTATGACCAAGAGCGAGCAGTGAACATATGGAATGAAATTCACATTAACACTATCAGTAGCTACAGTTTTATCAAGTGTACCATACAACATCTCACAAGAAATTTTATTTCTGAACAAAGCCACCTCAAGAAAATAATTACTGAACAAAGCTACGTCAACTAGCTCAAAGCTACTTGTGCATTGTTTACTTACCTTGGTGTGCGTATCTTACCACCAACACTGTGTTACTGAACAGCTTATCATCACAGTATTGAAAAGTGTAACGTGTAATGTCCCCTGAACCAAGCTGCATCAATGAATTAAACAACCTTCAGATACCTCAAAAGTTACTTCTGCTTTTCCAACTTTACATTGGTGTGGATGTGTCTTAACTAATAGAGCTGTGTTAATGTACCAATGTGTATCATCTATGTTACCTTTTCAAAGGTGACACCTGTACGAAATACTGACTGGATGATAGCTAGACAATGGAAATCCTCCCCTCCCTAATCACATTTTTATCAACCTTTCACTAGCAATCCAATCGCCATCAATAGATTGTCTCTACAACTTTACAGACGTAACAAATAGTTGCCAATAATAATTTCTTCTGACTTTTTTCAAGTCATGACTACTAATGGTCTAATCCTAAGACACACTTCTAAAATATCTTATTGCTCGAGAGAAGAGCGTGTATGCTGTGTAATGAAGTGAAATGAAAATTAAAATCTTGCTCACCCCATCTACTCTGTGATTGTGGAATACTGGCTAATAATAGTGCTCCGGAAGCAATTAAGAGCTAACTAAGAGCACCCATTAACTTGACTTGTCACAATGCATCACTGTCACTGTGCTGAAACATTTTCTGCTCTATTAGTGACCCAACAAAGTGAAAACGAAATGATATTATTCCCCTCCAAAGAAGTAAAATCACCAGAAATCACTTCTTCATTGAAGCAAAATAGCTGATGGTGAGCATGTGCTTCAGTAAAACACACTTAAAATCATCAGCAACAGTAATAATTGCTGGCAATGTCTCATTGTAAAATATGTGTACAATGGATCAATCAGCTTGTACGACTAACATGATATCTAGCAAAGCACACTATGGGTGTAAATATCATTCAACACAGATTTTTCACCAAACCTCCCCTATATCACATCGTTCTGGTGAACAGTGAAACCATTGTTCTGAAAAGATTTGATATACCTCTCGAATCTAAAGTTTGCTGACATGCCTCACAAGACACTGCCTTTCAGTGACCAACACGGGTGTGTGTAAAGTCTATCCCCTCTCCTATAATTGCAGCTGCCCCTGAACAAACACTGAATTTATGACCCTCTGCTTACTTGTAAAACAGTCGAAGGCGTAGACTTTTAAAATTATGCTGCTGATTAATTTTCATAAAGCTTGAATTCGGAAAGTATCCCAAAAGTTATAGCCATTGCTGATTGCAACGTGATTTGGGTAAAGAATGAAAATGCAAGAACTTGACTTCAAACACCCTCAAAACGCCTATCGAACAGTGCTCAATAATAATCTGTGAGTGCATGCTTCCTGACTTGTAATATCACAAAACTGTCCATAAACTGTCCTTAGTCATGAACTGTACCAAAAAGAGGCTCTCTCTTTCATCTGGTTAGGAATGCCTCCATTGCTCTCCTATGGATTTGAGAATAAACTGAAGGGATGAAAAGCAATTGCCTTGACATACACTGACTGTCATCTGCCTTCAAATTTGATGATTATCGCTCTACAACCTTAATGACAAGTAGCTACTGTAGCTACAAACACCCATTTCAAATCTGATCCTTTTCTCTTCAAGAAATAATAAGCCCCCCGACTATGGACAAGTGAAAGACGAGCAACACTTGCCTCAAATTTACAATTTGCTTGTTTGAAACTATTATTATGTAGTTGCCAAACAGAATTATTCATCAATACCAAGTCATCGAAATGGCACATACAAGTGACTATGTGCTGTGCAAATGAACTCTCTTCCCAATATCAATGTGCTTCATCCCACAACTCCTAAAACTATATTGACCACACTACTCTGCCCCATGCATCCCCCAATCGGCTTTAAACTGTGCTGAACTCTAACTAAAAAGAGAAATCCCACAGAACTGATCAAACCTATCATGAAAAAGAGGTTATACCCGTGTTGACAATTAGTCATCTTCTCTTCAAGCCTCCCTCAAATGGATAATGAGCAATGATCAATTCCACTTGCCTTGAAACAACAGAATCTCTCCATTTTGTTATACTAACTTTTATCTGCTGTGGAAACTGGTTAACCAAAATGATGATAATCAATTATTCACACTCAATGGCCCAAAATCATCGATGGTGAAAATGGTCATCATGATGCTGTGGTAATACCCACACTGAACTCTGATCTTCAAAATGAACATGATGAATACTGCATAGAATTGCTTTATCTCAGAGCTCCTACACCAATTGACTACAAATGACTGCCTGCTCTTCCCCTAAACCCCCAATTGACTTTAAATAATGTAACAAAAAAAACACAAAACTGATCAATCCTTAAGACTTAGTCATGAAAGAGAAAGAACCAGTGCTGACAATGAGTCATCGGGTTTCATGTTCCCAGAAATTATGAGTCTCCCTCACATGAACAATTGACTATGATCACTTCTACTTGCCCCGAAACGAAGAAATTCCATCTTGTATACCGATTATATCATCTGCAGAGAATAGAACACCAAGTCATTGAAGAAGAATTTGATACAAGTGACTTATGTGCTATGTATTGAAGTCCGTTCTTTGATCCACAACTGCTACACCAACTGTACAGAGAACTAGCTGCTCTGTCCCCTGAACCCATAATTGACGATATTGAACTGTTAACTGTAGAGCACACAAACTGATCAATCCTCTCATGAAAATGATGGACAATCAAATATACGAGTTGTCAATGAGTTGTCGTGTTTCATTTTCCCTAAAGGATAAGCCTCCTTCCTTCTGATGAACAAATGGACAATGAGCAACGATCTCATTTTCTCTAAATGAAGAATTCAATCTTGTGTATACAGTGACTTGCTGAGA